CGCTGGTATATGTGAGTTCGAATCCCGATTCGAATTTCTTTTTTGTTTTTGAAATATTTAAAAAAACCCATGTTAATCTTATTAAATATATGTAATATAAGCAAAAATTCGAAATTTTAAAATAAAATGAAAATTTACCATATAATCGCAAAATTAACGTTATATAATATAGAGTTCTTCACAAATAATAATTTATTACATAAACTGACATAAACTCTTATCGGGATCATTGCCAAATGTGAATCATTGAAATTATTGTTGCATAGAAAATGTACATGAAAAGTAGGTTTATTACTATTACGAAATAAATATGTCATAAACAAAAACGCTTCTTGTCAGAGATTTCTATCAGTACTCACGTAATGTTGTGTTTTTCATGTCGACAAACAGTCTCATGACATGTCGAGAATTATTGTGTGCATTTTGAGAGAAATTTGAGAGCTACCAGGATTGTATTGGCCCAATGTGCCCTGACTAGAAAACATATGCAAATAAACTTTTCCGGAATATAATTATCACTGTAGATGTGAAATATTTTGGATGTTTAAATGCAAATAAATTTTGCCGGGTTATAATTAGGAAGCGGTAAATCCTGTCCTGGATGACTTCAAACGCGTCTAATGGTATATTATATCGATGTGTCTAGAGAGTATTAAAATCTCGTTCATTTACGAAAGCACGAAACGACAAATTTAATCTGAATATTCGTACGATTCGATTCGTTATAGACCAGGGTCAAAGCTTTTGAAAATGGTAAAAAGTAAAAAAAATACAGGCGATCTGAGGTTGCGGAGTGGAAGGAGGTGAGTTTTTATCGGTAAAAAAACGGGGTTTCATTATTTTCAGCCTAAACTATAAATCCTATAGGAAAGAGTTAAATGACAAAATTATAGGTAATTAAAAGATCTACAACTTTTGTATTTACACATTTTTTTCACGCAATTTGCTGAAAACTTACATTTTTATGTCCCAAAGACACTTCAATTTTTTTTATTTAAAATATTTATTTTTTCCTCTAATAATTATATTTTAAAACCAAAAATCTATTTTATTCAAAAATTACACACAGAAAAATTTAGCATTTAACTCGGCATTACACGCGCCAAAAAACTTACGTTGTTTACAAAACACGCGCACGGTCAAATCGACCTTATACATAGTTTTGGTTAATTAATTAAATTAATAAAAATATATTTATTAATAATTAATAAAAAAAAAAGTAGAACTCAAATATAAACCAAAAATATTTTATTTTAAACTTACGTTACAATTTTTGGTTGCGTTTACCGAAAGTACAAGCTGAATGTAGCCGCAAATGTCAACCATGAAATAAAATATTTTGGTTTGGCAGTGTAGGGATGTTTTTATAATGCATATGTTGTTTGCTTCAAATATAAAGAGAGAAAGCCTTTCAAAAGTACATATTGATTACACTATTTTTTCTAATTCTAATTCTGTAATTTTTAATTTATATGAAACAATAACGAGTAAATATTTGTCTCTTTCGAGCTTAATTGCAAACATCTGTTGCAATCTCACAACTGCTGAATGCTCGAAGTAAGTTTGCGATAAAAATCTTAGGAATTTCTTTTTTATTTTTGCGAATTGTGACCGCAACCGTTAGTTTGTGTTTTTTTTAACAAATCTAAGGCTAAAGGTGTTGACGTAAATCAATTATTTATTATCGAAAGTTACATTTCTTCCAGTTCTAGAAATTGGTTTAATTAATCTTTGTACGATTGAAGAGGCGATATTTCATCATCATCAAGCATTTCATCAATTGTCACAAATTCACTTATAGCATAACAAAAATCCATAAAAAACTCTTATAGGAGATAGCTTATCGTACTGTTACAGTTCCTCTCTATGATCAAGATCGCCAAAGCGAAGCGCTGGCAGCAAAAATTGAAATCGATTTATTCCCATTGTAAGACGAAAAATCTCTACGCGGGTTCCGTCCTGTGACCACAGATCTCTCAAATGTAGGTGTGATGACTGCAAGACTCCAGTGAAATATAGAAGAGCAACAAGTATTTTAATTTCTTCCATATTTGTACTGGTGGCACCTTTTTCTCTACTGTAATTTGTCTGAAGCTTTAGAATATATTTGTTTGTGTGTTCAACTATTTCACTGATGACGGTGTCTGGAAAAAACAATTGTCAAGTATCAATAATGATTTTTGCTTCTCTGGTTTTTCCAATTACTCCAGAAGATTGGGTCACTATGTTCCTGCTCCGGGTCTTTTTTTTTAAACAGCTACGGGAAATTGATTCCACCACTTCTTTTTGTCCCTTCCCACAAAACACAGACGAGTATTTAGATCTTACTAGTTTCGTTAAAATCTTGTAGCTCTTCTTCTTCTAATTGCTTTGAATTAGAGTAGTGATCATTGTTTTTCAAAAAGTCATCTTGATCTTCAAGAGGCCCACCTGTCTCATCGTCGCTCTTAATTTCAGCCCATATGGCTAAAATACGCTTTATTCTTTCTCTTAAGACCACACAACTTGCAAATAAAAAATACTATTACAAATCACCATACATGTGACTATATTTTTTACTAAAATACTGGCAAAAAGAACCACACACAGAGTTCAATTGCCGTATTATTAACTGTAAAAAGCACACCAATATCTAAAACTGTAAAACTGCAACACAAATATCTTTGATACTTATGTACACGCGAACGGTCAAAAGCACCGACTACACAAATATTAAACTGTAACTCGCAAAGGCCAAATAAAAACTGAAATAATATATCGCCAGTCGGTAAAGGGAAAACCGCTTAGAGCATTTCAGGAAGGTCAGTACCGCCACCACTATACAAGCGGGGTCATTTAAAAATTTATCACGGCTCGGTCCTTTCGACCGACACGCGTGTAGTCTCGGGTTAAATAAGATGTAAAAAAATTTTCAGCTAAAAATATTAAAAATTGTCGATTTTCAAGCAATTTTTCTCGTTCGATCTTTTTTTCCGGTGGGCAGAATATTTCGATGCAAATACATCTGAATTCAAAAATTCGAAAATTCTCTTATGGTTTGTGCCCTAGGCTCGTGTTTGAATCTAAGGAATTGAGAAAAAAAGTTAAGATTTTGAAATAAGAGCCCTAACAACTAAATGTTCGGACAAACGAAAATGTAGTGAAGACGTTCATCTTCTCGATCTTTCTTATCAAACCAAATAACGAGATCAATACTATATTAAACTCTATCATTAATAACAAAATATTGAAATGGCTCAGTCTCATAAACTTTGAATTGCATCGTTGGCGGCAAAACAAACTAAAATATTGCATAACATCGTGACAACTAAATATTCGGACAATTCAATTGTGTGTTGTAATACACAACAAATTTTGTAATTTTTCAAGGGTTTTTACCCAGATGTTTAGTGGCTTGACTCATGTATACTAGCAATGTTACACTGATGATGGACTTTGTAGTCCATAAACGTTATGTGATGTAGCCCGGAAGGGCCTTTTTAATTCTTCTTCTTAGAGTGCCATCTCCCTTTGAAGGTTGGTAATCATAATGACTATTGTTATTTTTGAACTTGCTGCTCTAAAGAAATCAATCGATCTGCATCGATACCAATCACGTATGTTCTTCAACCATGAGTTCTGCCTTTGGCCAACAGATCTTCTTCTGTATTATGTATTAAATAGCATTTTTTTAATGTACATGTGTCAGCTCCAAATAATAATAATCAAAGTTCTTTACTGATATTTTTCTACTTGTTCTATCACATTACCATTGATTGTCAATAGGTATATTTTGTGGTCTTTTCGTAATTAACATGTACTTCATTTTTTGCGTTTATATTAATTCCCATCTCAGCACTATTCATACTTAAGCTTTCGATAAGATGTTGTAGATCTTCTATACTCGTTGCTATGATCACAGTGTCGTCTGTATATCGTAAGTTGTTAATTAATTTTCCGTTTACGATAACTCCCGCTTTGATATTATTGAGCGTGTTTTGCAAAATTTCTTCTGAATATAAGTTAAACAAAAGTGGCGATAAAACACATCCCTGTCTAAATCCTCTACAGATCTTCATTTCTTCTGAGTGTTGCCCATAAATTTGAACTATTGCACTTTTTAATTATATACCTTTAATGAGGGATTTTTAAATAAAACTTCTGTGATTCATGGTGTACAGCCAAATACAGGAACTTTATTTTCCCGAAAGGGTATTTTTAATTATATACCTTTTTTATAAAATATGTCGATAATAAAATTTTAAATAAAATTTTTGTGATTCATTGTATACAGCCAACTACAGGAATTTTATTTTCCTTGTGGGTCGTAATAAATTAGTTTATCGTGTATTTGATGATACTTCCGGAACTGAACTACTGCCGGATATATAGCTATCTTACAAACGAATTTAAATAACATTTTTGATTAGAAGAATTTGGTCGAGAGAAATACATTTTGATTTCAACAAGATGAAGCACCTCCATCCATAATTGGTGGATTGCAGAGTAGCTTCAATAACTGAAAATAGATATGTAACATGTCATATCAGGTCAAAAATAATTAAAAACTTAAACTAAAAATGTCAAAATATATAGGATGTCCCATATAAAAAAACATAAGTTGGTATTATATTTCCTTAGTTGGTATTAGCGAGACCCCTAAATAATTTTTTGTACGCCACTGAACCATATCATAATATATCTATCAAAAGTTCTAATAGATGTTTTTAAAATTTTTCTTAATAAAAAAGATATTTAACTCTGTCGTTTTCGACATTTTTCAATAATCGCCATTTATCTCGCTAATGGTTGATGATTTGATTGGGCAATCGTTAGTTTAACGAAAAAAGAAATAATAACATCTTAACTATTTTTTTTTAACTCATCTAGTTTTCGGTATACCCTGCAAAACATACTAATTTGAAACCCCCTGTACAAAAATATACTTTCTAAATGTTTTCTTATCGTTAGAAAGAAGTACTATGATCTAGAGATTCATGTTGTATTGCACGAATACTTACCATTTTAGAGCTTCCAGCGGCACAAACTTCCTCTACGAATTTTACAGCAACGCCCTGGTTCGGGCACGTCATAGAAAACATGCAGCTCTGGTAAAACTCCTGCTTCAACTGCCCTTTAGGAATGTACTGCGCATACCTCATCACTAATCGATTGGCATTCTTCGGTCCTATAGATTCAACCATCAGCATCCCCAATTCCGTCCAAGTCAACAGTCCGTCGATACATATCGTCTCGGAACAATTCAAGCAGTGGCCTTGACTCAGTTTTATATACAACTTTATAATGTCGTCCCACTTATCATATGTCATTTTAAATAAGACCTTTTTAAATACCTCTTTGTCGCTGAACTGGGTAATCATACCGAGATTCAATGCCAAGTCGCAAGCCTTGAGCTTGTACAAAAGCGGAATGTTGTTTAAGTACTCTTGTTTGTTTTCGGTATAATTAAACAATTTACAGGCCAGATTGTAATGATCTAGTTTCCTTTTGTGCGCTCTGGGTAAAGGAAAACCGCACTTACAACAATCGATTTTATAATCGTTTAAATCTAAAAAATATTTACTTAACGACTCGACGGTCGGTGGTTTAAGTTCGTCGAAATTGTACAAACTTTTAGAAACGAATTTCAACAGCTGTTCTTTGCACCACAGCGTCGCATCCTCTTCACTTTTGTCTTTGACGTACTTTATAAAAGACTCGAACAATGAGGGCAGTTCATCTAAATTGGTATTTGTTAAAATTTTACTACTCTCTGTTAATTCTGCTAGCTTATGAGTTTTGTTAAGTACGTATTGTTTATAAAGTATCTTTAAATCTTTCTCAGTGTCTAAATTTTGAAAGTTGCTTTCTAGATTTTCAGGTAAAGTGGTAGCTTGCGCCGAATACTGATTTTCAACTAGGACTATACCATTTTCCAACTTTAATCCAACCGTTTGGTCTTTGTAATACTCATCTAGTTTATCTAAAATATTTTCTATCTTCCCGAAAAGATCGTCTTCTCCTAATTCCTTCAACTTAGTCCTCAAAATTGATATGAGATTGATTTTCTTTGATTTTTCGATCAAAGCAAAAACTTCTTCGTTAAATTGTACACATAAGTCTGAACACAACAAATACTGTTTACTGATTAACGTGTTAATAACTATTTCCTCCAGAGATTGCAACGAAATAATGTTAATTTGCAGATCGTTCCTCCAAACGTAAATATGTGGCTTCATAATTTTTACATCCCTAATATTGTCGAATGCATGCGACCAGCATACGATATTGCTCTTTTCTACATTAAAGAAATAAATGCCCTTATTGTCATATGTCATTATAATATTTTTGTACAGCAAATACACTTTACTGAAGTTGAAGTCCTTTGAAATTTCAATTTCTTCGAATTTGGTTACACGAAGCCTCGTATCTTTGGCGTTTTCAATGGTTATCAAGTCGGAAGATTGCATAGAGAGGGAATTTCTGAACTGATATGTTGAAAGAACAGTGGCTTCAAAATTTGCCGTCCATAAGCGAGCACCGGGCCTAGCACAGTATATCTTCACATCGTTACTCACTTTACTACTAAAAATATCTTCACTTTCGATAGTTTTGAAGGCTCTCCTAACACCTTCGCATCTATCGAAGTGATCGGAGAAATCGGTCTGGGAAAAACAAGCGCCGAAATTGCCGTCTCTCAGCTTTTTGCCTATTTGTTTGTACTGTTCCTTTTCTGTATCACATAAATAAGTACGTGTTTTGGTTGAAATTAATAAATAGTTTTTGTAAGTATCTATTTGGACGATGCTTGAATCTAGGCTCATTAGAGATGAAGATGGGGTTTGGAATATTGCTTTTGTCTTAAAGAAAAACAAAATGTAAAAGATCAATAGTTATTCTAGAAACTGCTAAAAATAATCAATTTTTATAATATATAAAAGTAAAAGATCTACAATCAATTTGGAAATGAATGATAGCCCAGTTTTTATGGCAGAAGATAACACTTTGTTCAATAAAACTAAAAAAAAAATAAATTTTTTGTTAATGTATACCATCCGATTTAAAAACTTCAAAGGTATGCCATGAAAATTAATCTGTCAATGTACTGTTTCATTAAAGTTGATCTGCACGCACCAAAAGAAAAACTACACATTCAAAAAATTTGAAAAAAATTGAGAAGATATATGTGATTACTAGAAGTATTTTGACAAATTTTGAGCAAACTTCATGTTTTCGTTTTCAAAGAAATTCAAAAAAACTACTTTTTTCCAAGTATAAAGCACGAAAACCAACTATACAATTTTGTTAATTTTCTTACAGCATATAATCCTAAGAAATACTTATGAACTTTTTGAGAATTTTTGAATGTACGGTTTTGCCATAAGAGGAATAATGTTCCGGCTTATAATAAAGCTACCGGTATGAAACCGGACAAAATTTTAATGACAACATATGTATATAAAATTGTAAAAGTGGAAAATATTTCTTTCTAAACATATGAAAAATCTCGTTAAACAAGAAGTATATTTTGAACTGCCGCCATCAACTTGTTTTGTAAAGGGATGGCTCCATTTGAAACATCGGTAATATTTATCATCGATAGATAGCATTACTTTGGGCTTTGAAACGTTTTAACCGAAACGTCATACTAACAGGTTTGCCATATCAATTACTTTGTACAATACTTTGGTAGATTAGAACAAAATTTAATAATGTTAGCGGTTTGAATTTTGAACTGGCTATGCTGAAACTTACAGAATAGTAGATACTGTAACTTATATATATTTTTAAAGTACGATATCATAAAATCATCAATCTACAATCAACGAATAATGCATTTATAAAAAAACATATTTATTTTTAAAAACCTATTTAGGCGTTTTTAGATAAATATTTTAGTGTTCTTTGCATAACGTATTAGTGGTAATTTTTATATTAGTATTAGCATTTGTTTTAGTGATATTACAGTGTATTTAGTGTTATAGGATAGTACGCTTTTTAAAAAGAAGAGTAGGACTAAAACAACACTAATTGATGTGGCGATACCTAACAACAATAATCTGCGTGTTAAATACAATGCAAAGATCGCAAAGTACAGAGATCTAGAAATACAAATAAGGAGAAACTGGAGAATGGAAAGTACCCAGACAGTATCTATTATTCTATCTACTACTGGTGTTATTCCGAAAAACCTCCTAGAGAATGTAAAACAGCTGGGTCTTAAAAAATATGTATGTCCATAAGACCATGCAGAAAGTTGTACTCCTCGCGACGTCCAGATGTGTACGAAAATTTTTGGGAGATACTCCAGCATACTACGTCACCTAGGGCTCGATAACACTGAAGAAGTCCTACCAGAGCTCAATCCTTTTGCCACTGTAGGTATCTGGGATAAGTGAATTTTCCCCTTAGAGGGTGTGTGAGCTGTATGGCTAAATCTGGATACTCAAAAACAAACTTAATTCCAAGCACATAGTAAAAGCAATAAACACATACGGAAACTAAAGAACGGAATAGACTAAATAGAACCATGCTAACTAAATACCGCATGGACTACTCCGAATCATACATCCAACGCATGACACTACCACGCACACAAGGAGGATGTGGAACGGGGTGTTTTGGAAATATCATCCACCAAAGACAAAAATATATACAGCAGCAATGAGACCTGTGATTGCATACGAAGCGGAAGTAATGTGTCTTACGAAAAAAGATGAAGAACAACTAAGAATTATTGAAGGAAAAATTCTGAGAATACACGGCCCAATAAAGACAGAACTAGGAGAATATAGAAGACTAATGAAGCATGAAATAAGAAATATAACCGAAAGTGAAGACATAGTAAAATTTATTAATGCACAAAGACTGAAATGGTTTGGACACATACAAAGAAAAGAAGAAGATGCACTAATTAGAAAGACAACAAACCGAAAATCAGTAATAAAGAGACCATTTTTGACGATTGACCATTTACCTAAACATATATGTTGTGAAACTTAAGCTATTTTCAAAGAGTTTTTTCTACAATGTTACCAACAAATACTTAATGCTTTGTATACAAAATATAAAATGAGTGTGTGATAAATCAATTTGTTTTCAGATTTTCAGGGATTAAGATTGTTACAAAAAAAACTAATACTTAATCAATAAGAACATCACTGAATGACAACTGCAAAAAAGGTTTAAACACAATTCTTTGCATAATATATAAAGCTAGATATGCAACCATAAGATAACATTAGTGAACTATAAATCATATATCCATTCAATAATTGATTATGGATGCTTTTTAAATGGTTCATTGTCAAAATCTAATTGATCAAATCCAATATAGGTAAATATGTATTTGCATTAGTGTGTTAAAGTTATCTCCTTGTGCTGCAATTCTATCAGAAGCACAGACATCTCCTCTAAACTTGAGAAGAAAATTCTTGGCTAACAAAGGACTTACGACATAAATTATTAATATAACTTAACAAATCCTTATAGGAGAATTTAAACATCTCTTAAAAATGCTTTCAACTTTATAATATATACTAAACAAATATCAGCTTGATGATAATCAGCTGCACATAATAATTGTACTATTAATAATTTTCAAACTAAGTCTATATGATTTGACGATGTATCACTATTTTTGTTAGTAATGTTTTGATAAGATTGTTCAGATTCACTAAATTAATAGATTACTCGATATGTAGTGGAAAATTTCCAGAAATATTAAAAATGTCAAATTTATATTGTCATAAAAATTGATAACAAAAATGAACATTTTTGTTGATTGAAAAATGACATAAAAATTTATAACAAAGGGCAGAATAGAGATTACTCTAATATACAACTATAACACAAATCAGATAGTGATTTAACGCAAATAGCCTTAACAATATATTTTCAAGGAAGTTTCCACACTTCTCTATATCAGTTATCACAATCATATAATAGAGTAAGCATAGCTGTTGCCTAATATTATTATCATTGTACTGTTTTTGTCTTGTTCCTCAAGGTACAGTGAATTGTTCTGTGTATATAGTGAAACCTGTCAGTTTTGTGATCAATATCTCTATCTTCCTCAAAACTTTTGTAACACCCTGGGTATATTGGGTAACATTCAAATTTATAGTTACTTGAAGTTTCTTTTTCTTACAGTTATAAAGCCTAAGTTTATCTTATGATTTTTTAGTTCATATCTTATTTTGTGTTCCTTAGACCCAAATCTTATACAATTCCAAGTAGTTATCTTTAATATATCCATTATTCCAGCTTATTTATTCTTGTCTTCCCTAGTTTGTCATTTTGATCCATAAGATTTTTTAGTTTGATACTTTTGAATATTTTTGGTACAGATCTATAGAAAACATAGTACATAATACAAAGAAGAGGAAGAAGAAAAGAGAATAGAGGAAGAATTTTGGAACAAGTTCTAGTTACTTTTAATAGCAGACTACAGCACATAAATAAAAGGCACATATGCACAAATACAAAGTCAAAAGAGATCATTTTGTACTTACCAATTTTGCATGAACAGTGCATACAGCTATTTTTCCATTATTGTCACCACTGTATACACTATTGCCATGCCATTTCATCACAGTTATTGCATTGCCGTCGTGTTCGGTAAACAATAGAGGCCTTACATTTAAGTCAGCAAAAAAGTTTTCTAAAATTATCACAAGGCCTCTGGCAGAGGCTACGGCCAAATTTTTCTCATCAGGAGATATTTTTATGTGTACTGTAGATCCTTCCTGAAATATATTACTTATTAAGTACAAAAATTGCTACTAGTGAAAATGGATATTTATTGACTAAAATTGATTTTTTTAGGGGATAAATTTGGCAATGACTGTGAAATATGTTAAAAAGTTTACCAGATTATTTTGAATGATTGTAAAACAAAGCTGCAGGTGGCAACAGATGGAGTTAAAATCAGACATGTTGATAAAAAAGAGTCTTGTCTGCAAATGTTTCATAGCAAAAAACAACAAGTTTTTATGTCTATATACAACAATGGATGAAACCTAAATATGGCAAATCATAACTAGATACTTGATATAGGAATACTTCAATAAGTTGAATACTGAAGTTCATTCAGTATAAATTTTCCACAGAAACTCTTCATATCAACCAAATATACAATTAATTGAAATAAGGTTGAATGCTTGAATAAATGAACTTTGATAAAACAAAAGGCAGATATCGAGCACTGTTTTATTAATTAAATCTTGCCCAAGTACTTTTGCTTCCTAGAGAATCTTCAGGGGCATTTCGTCAAATTTTGGGCTATCCAACAATTGCAGAATGTCAGAAACTTAAAATTAAACATAATACTACACTAAACAAGGACAAACAGTTTAAAATTATTTAAAAAATAGTGGAAGCTACATTCTGGTCGGCAACAGGAGAGAGAATCTCCTCATAAACTTAAAATTAAACATAAAATTGAACATGTCGGATTCTCTGACATTCTTTCTCCAGTTGCAGACCATATATATGATCTTTTATCTGCCTTAAAAATTCTCTTCTCCATATTACAAAGTCATCTCTGTCTGTGAGAATACTGTTCCTGCCACGTTTTTCAAATTTAAATTGAAGTTTTTTCAAAAGCTTGTAAAAGGTAGTACGTTTGAAATAAGGTAGATTGGGGTCGTCTTTGACCTGTTGTAGAACTATATCTATCGTGGAATTTCATTTCTAAAAAAGAATTGATGCACTATTCTTCGTATCGCTACCTTGTCAAAATCATCTATAGATTCGAGTTTGCCTTTACGAGTGGTACATTTTTTTGGTGCAACTAATGTGTGTGTAGTTTTATATTCTCTAATAACTTTAAACACAGAACTATCCGATACTCCAACCTTATCGGTTACTCTTTTCTCAACAGCGGACAATAATAAAGCCGGATTTTCTTGTAACTCGTGCTTATACACGTTTACAATTATTTCTTTAACGTCTACTCTTAAATGGCCTTTTTTCGATCTCTTTTTGGGGGAGTTAAAGGTATGTTTACGAGTTCATCGGCAGAATCCGTGTCCGACATATTAATTTGTTTTAGTGACTGTATATACAAACCTGCAAAATATTATTTACATGCTAATATTCTAATAAAATAATAGATAATAGATAATTGAACAGATATATTAAAAAGGTCAATAGTCACAATCACTATCTTTATTTTCAAGGTGTTACAGAAGCGACCTTACAATATTTGCCTCATCCTCAGGCAAAGCAAAGAGTTTGTTTTGTTAAAAAACAATAATATAGATATCAGCAATAAGAAGTTTTCCGCTTACATCCAGGGTACTGTCTGTCTCCATCTTTTCCTTTATGACACTATCTATTGTAGTAAGGTGATATGTTGATCATTATATATGTTGTAAATAAAAGGCTCTTGGTAATATGGTTGAGCATTAATGTGTTCTAACCGTGTAACTGTTGCTAAAGGTTGTTGTCTTTGATCCTTAAAATACTTTTTGGATGTTCTAGTTTTTGTTGTCAAAGTTTTTTATTATTAAAAAGGTAGGATTATCTTCTGGTTTATAATAAAATTAAAAGTAGTTAAACTCAAATACACATACAGTATAAGCTGCCACATCCGGACTGCATGTATTTTAAAAACTTGTGGAAGATGGAAAATCACATATTATGCAGTAGGATGTCCTTTTTTTGTTGTTTTTGTCACAGGTTGTTACAAGGTAAAGACCTAAAGGTCTTTACCTTGTAAGACCTTTTATTTACATATATATATATATAATGATCAACATATCACCTCACTACAATGATAGTGTCATAAGGGAAAGATAAAGACGGACAGTACCCTGGATGTAAGCGGAAAACTTCTTATTGGCGATATCTATATTATTGTTTTTTAACAAAACAAACTCTTTGCTGGGCCTGAGGATGATGCAAATATTTTAAGCCTCGAAATGGATCGCTTCTGTAAAACTTTGAAAGCAAATATTAGATTGTGAGTATTGACCTTTTTAATATATATGTTCAATTATGGACTCACACTTGCAAACCTTTTATCATCATAATAATTATTATAATAGAGTCAAAATAATATTAAATTTACTTACTTAAGTTGAGAGAAAACAGCAAACACTTTAAAAATGTTCACAGTTCTAAGTTTATTTAAATAATTCTATAATTATAAACCAACACTATAATGTTACCAACACACACACATATATAGAGCTATTAAAAGTAAAAATTATATTTATATAATTGAATTCAACAGACATAAATGTGATTCATAAGGATTATTGAATCCATATCTGTTAAAAAACTGCAAATTATGCATCTTTGTTTAGAGGTGGAGATTGTCGTTAGTTGTGAGTTTCTACTTGTTACTTTTGATACGCTTTTGTATATAATCAGTTACAGTATAAGTGATTTTGTAACAAGTATATACCTCTTCAGCATCTCTAGATATTGGTAATTGATATATCACACATCCGTAGTGTTGTTATATATCTGTCTTTCATTTTATCAAAATATACAATTGGTTAATATCAAAAAATTATTAAAAATTAATTTTTCTTGTTTTTACCTAAAATTTCATTTTTGAACATTTTCCAAAAATTACATTCTAAAAGTAAACATCATATTTGGATTTAGCAACCTCAAAAACATAGCATACAACCCAAGTTGACCATTAATGTAGCTTGATTGTTTTATGGATTTACGAGACTAGTTTTAATGGTGTGCAGATATCAAAAGAGATATAAATAACTTCATCTAAAAATGGTACTAGCCCCAAAAAAATTGCACCTATTTATCTTAGCACTGCTGTACCCTTAGTAACAATCACCCAATCATTCTAAAGCATGTTATAGAAAGATAAATATACACTTCACTGTTTTGACTCAAATAAAATTGTATATATCCATAAAAATATTTATTTAATAATGAAATTGTATTGATGATGTTGAAATATTTCCTAAGTAAACAAAAATATTGACTAGAACTTTTCTTAAGAATTCTGACCTCTCTTTTGATATCTATAAACATTTACTAAATATTTTTTCTTTTATTGACCAAAGATAGAAATTGGTCTATTAAAATATCTATTTTTTTGTGTTTTGTTAATTACTTTAATTATATCATTTGCTAATATGTGTATGATAAGTTTCTATAACATACAATTTTCTACTTTATAGTGAGTAGTGAATGAATGTATTTGTGGATCTTGCAAGTTCTTAATGCAAATTGAATATTGTAATTAGATTAAACCTTTCTTTAAATTTTTATGCCATAACATTACTTTTTACATTGCCATTTCACTTTTTAAAGAATTATATAAAATACATTAAAAACTATAACTGACATTTGATCTACTAGATACTTCCTCCCCTTTATTACTCTAATTACTATATGAACCTTTATAACACCCTGACAATTTCAGGAATTAATTAATTATTCTATTTCTAATTTTCATCAGCAACAAGTTTTATTTAAAAATGTTTATTGCAAGCAAAAAGGATTCATACTTTACAGGTGGCAAAAAATAAACAAAAAACTATCTTAGTGTAGAAAAGAACTAAATTGTAATAATCATGGTTTAATTAATTCTCTCGAATTAGAAAAATATTACAAAAATAATTATACATTAGAGATACTTCCTTTGTCAATAATTAGGTGTCAGGCAAAGCTATGTAGAAATATCTATTTTAAAACTTACTTTGCTTGGGATTAGCCTAAGAAATTCACATGGTGTTCGTTTGAAAATATAAATACCTCCACTGTTTGTCCCCAAAATGATATAGTGGTTTGAAACATCAAAACTAGTGAGCTAAAATAATTTCTGATGAGTTTTCTATAATTACATTACTTTACGAACCTACCTTAATCCGCTGAGTATGTTTAAACGTTTCACATATTGCTGTTTTTATACTGCTCAAATATTCTACCAAAACATACTTATCCATTTTTAGATCTTACAAAAAATCTAGGTTATGTTTTTATTTTTCCTTCAGACATTTTTGAGTAAAAATAGCTACTGCCAACGTGCAGATATGTAAACTTTTGAAAGGATTGCTTAAACTGCAGTAACCACTTTTTGAAAAAAGATAAAGATAAAACTGCACAAGTACTAGAAAGGGACACAATCTACATGCCACCTCTCAGTGTTGTCAGCTTTCAAAAATCGAATGTAAATATTTTTCATAAAGAATATAAAATACTTTCAATTATGTGTTAAAAACCGTTATTTAGTTGACTTTTTATTCTAAGATATATTCGTTTATGTGAAGTAATTATAAAATATTCTAATTATTTTGTTTATACTAAATTGAAATTAAATATTTCCGACTACTATGTCTAATGTACACAGCTGACAACCATGGTTTTACTGCAATTTGACATAAGAAGTAACGGTGGCAGCAATGACAAGATTGAAAAGTGCAATGGACGGGTAAACTTTTTGCCATTGTTTTTTAAAATACATATTAATTTAATTATTATTTTTGGCTACTAGTTTATTAGATTTCAAAAAATACCAGTATAATACGTTAAATTACCTATAGTAATTCACGTGGTAAGTAACATACTTTCTGATAGTGACCAGACTAGTGATTGTGTGTGATGTTTAAGGATTTTGTTGTGCCAAAATGGAATTGTCATCGGGTAGTCCAAATTCGCAAGAATATTTAAAATTCACCAAAGGTCGACGTAGTTCCAACTCTTCGTATTCTTCTTACTTGTCCGAAGGAGACATTGATACCATAGATATTAATAGTATACACTTTGACAATGATGAATGTTGGTAAGTTGAAAGTATAAGAAATCTAAAGGTAGGTCAATCTGTGACCAAATTGGTTAGTAATAACAGTTATAAACATTGTATTATACGAAGCATGACTCAAAACTATTTATTTGGTGTTTAATGTCCCTTTTATTAATGAACTGTTAAGATATTGAACCATTAAAAGTAGATTTTAAAAGCAAAGAGAACAGTTATTATGAATAAACAAATTAAATAGTAAAGGATGAATTTCATTTAAATTTAAAGAGAATAATGTGCAAGTATGTATAAAAGCTAAATAATATATATTACTTTCAAGTATTCTTATTGGTTTTTGGAGTTTTATCATTTATTATATATTTATTGTTTATTCTTGTAAATATCAGCTTGTATTAATTGTCTTTAACTTGTTGTCTATTGTTTTGTAGGTTCCAATCTTTAACATTAGTTTTTCATTTTTCAGCCCTAATATGTTGTAAATTATTTTGTTTCTGTTAGAATATCCTTCAGCTCAAATAATAATATTATTTAACAAATTGTTTTCTTATACTTTATTTTCATAATGATTAACAACAGTGTTTTGATCATTAACACAGTGATTGTAACAAATTCATTCTAAGAGTCCACTAAAATCTGTTGAAAATAGCAAAAAAAAAATAAAAAAAAAGATTATTCCAAGGAAAGAGTGAAGTGAATACTGAAGTAGGAAAAACAGTTGAATAAATAAGGATAACTCATACTAGGAAATAGAATAGAAAAAAGTAGTTAAAATAGATATACAAATTCACTGATAAAGGACACAAGGAACATGGATAATGAGAGAAATTGATATTTTACTACAATAAAAATACTGGTCCTAATGGAATAACAAGCTCAAGACAGACTTTTATTATCTTAGTTATATACTTATACTCTAATAATTTTGTTATGTCAATGGCTTGTACAATATATCAATCTTGTACAATTTTTTCAGATATCAAAGACAACAAAAACTCATGTCATTATCCTCTGATATCTGAATAATTAAAATATGTATCAAATTGATTTGATTACGTGAGAAACTGACTGATAAGTAAATATAAAAAATTATGAATTTTCTTGATTAATGTTATTAATCAAATACTGATTGTTGACAATCAGCTTATATGAGATAATCAGTAACTACAATAGATGTAATAAAAATTAAACATTATATTTTGACATTTTGATTTCCAATCTAGAAATTTTTTTAAAAAAATGTTAAAACAAAACTTTTTAATAACCTTAATCTGTAAATGTTTATAATTGACATTGGGTGATAATGCCAGTTGACTTACTTGGCATTGATGTTATAGGCATTAGCCATGTTTTGAGTAGAAATCTGAGAAGTTTTCTTGTACCCTCGGATTGATATCAAATTCTGATATTTGAACATATACAAAGATTAAGAACCTATTATTAGGAAGAAGAAGTTTATTTATTCAAAAATAGAGAAAGCCTTAACATACACAAAAGTAATCTATTTATAACATTAATACATAATAAGATAAAAATGACAATTACACTTAAAATATAGTACCTACAGTTAATAAAAATATGAAACATAAAAAACAATAATATATCATAAATACAACTAAAATACAACTATATCACTATGGGTGCGTTTAATATGGTTCAATAATTTGCTTTTAAACATTTGTACAGATGAACAACTTTTAACTGTTAGAGGAAGCTTATTAAAAAGATTAAAACTCACAAAACTAAGCAGGGGCAAAATTATTTAAATTTTAATAAATTTTAATAAACATCATTGTATCGTAAAAGATCATTTGTTGAACTAAAACCCATGCAACATGCTAAGTATTGTTACTATAGGTGTATATCTGCTTCCACCAAGAGTGAATCTCATTCCACGATTTTTTAATTTTTACAACTGAGCTGGTTTATTTAAATTGAAGAGAAAAATAACCTATGAGCCAAAATAGAAGTGAGGTTGAATATTTGCATTCAAAACTGTAATTTTAGTTGAAGTTGACAAATTTCTAGATATTCTTGGAAAATACTATAATTTTTTAGAAGTATGTTTTAATATATAATTAAAGTGGTCATTAAAAGACATTAAATTATCCAATTAAAAACCAAGGTACTTAATTGTTGTGATGATTTTTATTTTATTGTTGTCAATTTGAAGATTAATAGTATTTATATAATTATTTGAGTATTTATATTTAGTTGTTATTATCATAGCCTTCATCTTTAAAACATTTAACTTAGTTTGTTGATCTTTAAATATTTATTAACATACTCTAATGCCGAATTGATTCTAGATACACCATTTTTAAGTTTAAAGCAAAACATACAATTAAGGTGTCATCTGCATACAAATTGAAGAAATCATATTTAACAAACAAGTTTATATCATTTAAATACAATATGAATAAAAGGGTCCTAAGACACTACCTTGAGGTACCCTAATATTAACACTAATTTCAGAAGAAGGTAATATTATCAATCCTCACTTGTTGTTTTATATCTAATAAGTAATCCCTAAACCATTCAAGAACATTTCCTTGATCAATAGTTTCAAAAGCTCTTTTTAAATCAAGATATATACTCCCAAATCTAATAATTTCTCATTGGGTGGAAGTATATTCATAGGTCTAAATACATCCACCTTAATAGTATTATTAATTTTTGGTATTGGAGCAATTTTACAGATTTTTAATAAATCTGGATGTTTTGGATGATCTAAGAGAAGAATGTAACCACAAGTCACAAAAATGTTTTTTTAAATTTTAGAGTTTAGTATTTCATTAATGTTACTTCTATTATCTAACAACTAAACCATGACTGCCAAGTGATAGTAACCCAAATTCATGAATACTGGAATACAAATTCTGATTAACATAACTCCATAATTCTTTGGAGTGGATAGATTCAATAATTTGCTGAATACTAGGAACAAAATACTCACCAAACTAGCGCACCATTTCAACTTTATCACTCAGAATGCATAACTGATTCTGAACCTTCAATTCAATGTTATAAGGGAGTTTTTGCTAATTATTATCAATTAGTGTTTTTGGCTTCTTCCACATAAGTCTAGAGTTATTTTTGTAGCTATTGATTTTATTAAAATAATATTGTTCCTTTTTTTATTTTAACATATTAACTACCACATTTCTTGCCCATTTGGCATTTCTATCACTTATGTTAGCAGTTTTAATTTCTTTGTATAATTTGTCCCTAATTTTAATTTTACTATTAACTTTCTTATCAAACTATAGTAAAAACGTTTTCATCTTTCTTGGCGTGTGCGTGTAAAAACACTTGCAATAAACTTCCAGCTATAACTGAAGAGAAAAATAAATCATCATTAAAAGGTATGAAGCACAACAAAATATCTGGAAAAGATGACTGCTCCTTTGAAGGAATTACACTAGAAAAATGGAATAGTGGCATTATGATAATATTGCATAAAAAAGGAGTTGTAACAGAAATTGGAAACTACAGACCCATTACCTTGTTATCTTATTTATATAAGCTGTTTATGAGAATAATTACTAACAGACTGGGACCTAAGCTAGATTTTCACCAACCACTAGAGCAAGCCAGATTTAGGAGTGGCTTTAGAACAAATGACCACCTACAAGTAGTAAAATCCTTGATAACGAAAGTTATAGAATACCATAAGCCATTAATATTAATGTTTGTAGACTTTGAGAAAGCATTTGACCAAGTCCAGCATAGCTCCATGTTGAGAGCTGTTACAGAGTGTAGTATTGAATGTAGGTACACAACTCTTCTTCGAAATATATATAATAGCTCAACAGCTGCAGTGAGAATGTACCATGGCTACACAAACACATTACCCTTGCATAAGGGTATTAGGCAAGGGGACACAATATCTCCTAAACTATTCACTGCTTTATTACAGAGTGCCATGAGAAACAATAATTGGGAAAATGTTGGAGTCAACATAAATAGGGAGTTTCGGAACAACTTGAGGTTTGCAGAAAACATAGTCTGTATTGTGCGGACTGGGTAGATCATGCCTGTCAACTTCTTCAAGACCTTCAGGGCTCTTGGACACGAGTTGGTGTTAAATTTAACTTTTCTAAAACACAATATATTCCAAACCTTGTACTGTCCAAAAACATTTCAACTAATGGCACACAGATTAAACAAGTTTATACCTATAGGCATCTGGGCCACTAGAGTAAATTAGGAAGAGACAATCAAACAACAGAGTTAAACAGGAGAATAGGACTGGCATGGGCAGCTTATGGAAAACTGAGGGAAGTCTTTAGATCAGATATTCCCAGAATCATTGACACTTACCAGAAAAGTCATCTATATGTTACAAGTAGCACAGAGAGCAATATCAAATCAAATAGTTAGGAGAAAAACTGGTGTTACAGACACAGTTAAAAGAATTACAACGATAAAATGGAACTGGGTAGGACATGTTGCCAGAGTCAGAGATGGAAGATGGACCAAGAAAATTATAGAATAGAGACCTAGACATGTTGCTTATTGTAATAGAGGACATCCTCCAACAAGGTGGTGAGACGACATGAAACGCATCCAGCACAACTGGATTCAGGGTGTTAAAGATTGGATGCAATAGAATTATTTACAGGAGGCCTCAGCAGTGGACTCAAAACGGCTAATGATGATGAATAAGTCATTACCGACCTCGAAGACAGTAATGTTCAAAGTGACCTGGAAGATGACCAAACTTTGTACAGTCAAAGCCAGACAAGTGTTGCAAAAAAATGTTTTTCATACTTTTTTTTTATTTTCACTTCATTTTATCAGTTTTTATACAAATTTTTTGTTTGCAATGTTATTAACTTTAGTGTTTTTCAGTCATTAAATCATTTTTAAATTTGGCAGATTTTTCATTTCAAAAAGTTTAAAATGTAGATTTCTCAAAAGTCTAAAAAGTGGAGTTAGCTTGTTTTGGTAGTAAACCGACGATATACAAGTTAGAGAATAAATTTTGAACAACATCATAGTGCCTGTTTGAAGTTTAAAAAAAATGGTCAATTTTAATGAGTTTTTTGACTTCCTTCTACAAAAAATGCACTTATAAGGTTTTATATAAAAAAATTTGTTTGTTATTGATTTTCTACAAACGCCCCATTGACATCGCGATTAAAATGCTATTGCATTTAGATTTTTCATTCTAAACGAAAAAAAACATGATTCTTTTTATATATTTCTATATAGAATGAATTAATTTGTGTACAGTCATTTTTCAAAATATAGTAGAGGTGGTTCGATGTTAATTTTAAAAGCCAAAAAAACTCACTCATCAAAAAAATATATATAAAAAGAAAACAAATAACTCTACCATTTCTGAATCATGAAAAACTCTAAATCTTTTATTAATCTTTCCAGATGTTTAAGACATTAACAGACTTTAACTAACAGGCGTTATATTTGTACAGAATTATATTAGTGAGTCAATAAATCATATTTTGAAACACAACCAATAAATGTTATTTGATAAATATTTGTTTGATGCTGTTCTTTATATGTTTATAAACTAATTATAAAAAAATGTTCTCTATATCTTTTCTTTTCTTTCACAGGTTGTGTGCTTCCAATAATGAAGACCCGATTTTAGACCTAGATCAATGGTTACATAAAGATTTGGACCCCAGTTACAACCCTCTTGCCAATATCAACTCACATATCAGCCTGCAGAAAAATGTTGACTCCAGGACGTTCACGCGTCCAAAGAAACGATTTACCCGTCCATCAATAGAAAGATACAATGAAGAAATGTATGGTGGCAGTAGTGAAACAATTACCTTGCAACCGAGTTCGAGAAGTTTCATTATAGAAGAAAACCCCGAGCCTGATACTACGCTGACAGAAAACAGTGTGAATTTCGACCTTTCACAGCCTTCTAGTAGTTACTATTTTGAAAAGATTGTAGCAGACTGTGGCGATATTGATTCTTTTCAAAATATGTCTCCGCCAAGTCTAGTCAATTCCATGTGTTCCTCTACGTTTGCGAATCTTATGGAGAACAGTTTCATCAAAAACGATCCTATTTTAAGGGAAATCAGGGATACCGATTATTCTGAGACGGTTTTACTACAAGATTGTGAAGCTCCCATGTTTCAGTCTTTCACTGAAAGTTGCAGCAGCATAAATTCCGATACCCCCGAAAATTTTTTGAAGAAAGTGTCTTTTAACGGAACCTTTAAAAGAAATACGAGTAAAGATGAGATTAATAAGCTTAGAAGTTTGAATGCCACATTCGATGCTTTTGAACCAGGTGAGTAATTCATATTTTTATCTTATGTACAAGGAGTGTTTAATAAGTATGTGGGCATTTAGAGGCATTTTCTTTACTATTTTGTAGATTAATAACTTCTTTTAATAACAGTAATTAATAATTGCGAATAAAGAAATACTTGACGCGTTGTATGACACATGTACTCATTTGTTTATTTAATCAATCATTTCGTCGGTCAGGCCAGACGGAAAACAAAAACTCTAACGAAGTAGTATAAATTCCAAGTGGATGAACGTTACGGCAGGACATGCGGACTTGCGGCTCGATATTTCTCATTCCATTATTCCTGCGGGATGTGAAGGGATTTAGATTACTGTTTGGTATAGGGTTAGTTTAACTCCATTTCATTCTTACTTACAATATTTACAATACATTTATAATTTACTAGATTTATGTTAAATGTTTTTTTCTTATTATTATTGTGTTGTTTCCCAGATTCTTCTTTTCCATGCTGCTATTTTCTGCCAATTGTCTGATCTCGTTTCATTATATACCTCGTTTTTGTGTCTCTTGTTAAACTTGCTCATCCCGTCTTAATCCAGGACGGCTAACCTTTGTTTTCCTGCGCTCTGGCTTAGCATATCTTTTCCGCTAGTCTTTAGTCATTCATTATGTGTATATTACAGTGATATACTAGTTGCCTCTTACTAATAACTATTTCTATTAGGTTCACTTTGCTATTACCGTCGGGTTTCGAGTATCTCTTCAGTTTTTGGTCTGGTTGATTTTTGGTCCATGTCTCCGATCCATATGTCAACACTGGTTGTATAAAGATTTTATATATGGTTATTTTTGTTTGCTAGGATTATTCTTCGGTTGATTTCTTTCGTCATGACGTTCTCCTTGGTGATCACGGAGCCTAAGTATGTGAATTTGTCCACCAATTCAAAGGTAGAGTTATCAACAGTGAATTGATGGCCGATGTTTCTGGCTCTATTGTTGGGTGTTGATGTCATTATCTTAGTTTTCTCCTCATTTACTTGCAGGCCCATATTTTTTGAGGCATTTGACAAGATGGTATACATTTCTTCTAGTTTGTGTGTTGTTCGGGCAACTAGGTCAACATCATCTGCATATGCCAAAATTTGGGATGATTTATTAAAAATGTTTCCTCTGTTGTCTATTTGAGTATCCCTGACAGCCTTATCCAGAGCTATGTTGAAAAGGCGACACGCCAGCACATCTTCCTGTCGCAGCCCAATATGCGTTTCAAATGCCTGTGATTGTTCGACCTGTATTTCGACTTTGCAAACAACTTTACGCATTGTAGCCTTAACCAATCTTATCAGTTTATCGGGGATATGGAATTCATCCATGGCTTCATACAATTTATTACTTAGGACACTATCATAGGCCGATTTAAAATCTACGAGAAGATATGTATCGATATTGAATTCATTGGTTTTTTCCAGTATTTGCCTTAGTACAAAGATCTGGTTTGTTGTTGATCGACCAGGCCTAAAACCACTTTGATATTCGCCAAGGATCTCCTCTGAATATGCACTCAGGCGACTATATAAAATACTCGAAAATATTTTGTATGTTGTATTAAGGACGGTTATTTTTAACTATAGTTTCTTATATAAATAAACTAAGTTGTTAGAGCACATAAATATCGAAGAACCCCGTACGGGGAAAAATTGTATGATCGAAATTTTATGTTAGTTCAATATCTTCTAGTTTTTAATAGTTACAGAAATAGTTATATCATAATCGGCCATGATATCATCAATATGCATAACATTCATATAGTTCGAGGTCACGGAAGATAAAAACCTGTAACAAATATAGTAAATAAAAGTATATTTTATAATAGTAATACTTTGTACTAAAATAGATAGAGTTGAATGTATACCAGTTGTCCCATGTGTTCAACATCGATTCAATAAAGATATTCCAAAAAATCACTTTACAAAAAGAATATACGAGGACTGATCATTCACGTTCAAAACTTTTTGAATTGCTTGGTAACGTTGGAGCAGTGCACATTGCAGGTTGCAGCATTGTTTATTCTGATCCAATCCAAACTCTGCAGTTTTTTCCAATGCTCAATTACTTTCGTTTTCGCGAAGTTACAGCTGTTTTTATACCTATTAAATATTTGCTAGATAAATACTGCATGGGGCGTTTGGGGATGAATGTTTGAATCGGTCCCGGTGTTGGGAGGGCTTCACGAGGTTTAAAGAAAACCAGACATCATCAGCAGACAGCCATTAACAGCATTTTTTCTTGAAACTTATCTGTTTTATATCGTTCCTTCTTCAACACTCGAAGGACCTTTTATTTGGCCCCGGGTTGTATACCCTGCGTTTTTATATCAAGGTGATATCGAATTCTCCCGTAGTAACAGTACGTTCTACGGAAGCTGCCTTACTGTGCTGTAGGTTTGCCTGTTCAATGAAAGAGACCTATTTGTGTGTATCTAGAGTGTCTAATGTCATTAATAAAGAATAGCGCTAGGGTCCTGGTTCCGACGTGGCCGTCTTTTAGGTCTCGATAAACAAAGATTACCGAGTGTATTAGATGTAATAATCCCGGGTTAAGTTTATACTATTCGATATGACATAGTCTCAATATCTACTCTCCAGGCGTATAACCTGTGGTAGGAAATGCCTAAGCGCCTTGAACCTTCTGGTCGCCGACCAGATGAGACGAGTGGTAGAAGAGTGCACTATTCGGTGGTAATTTGTCAAACGTTCCAGGTGTGATGATTCACACGTGTTATCGTTAACTTGCCCAGTGGGAATCACCGGCTATAGGAATGTTGTGCAAGACAAGAACTATGGGGAAAGTGGATCCTCACGTTATTCACCTGGAAACGGACTCGTAGAAGCGTTGCTTTTTTCAGAAAAGAGTGAAAAATCATGCGATAGGTTAACCCTTAATCGAGCGTGGGACTGGTGAGTTTTGGGGTATCACCATTCTTCGAATCCCACCTGCCTCACGAGTTTCCTGTCAATGTGTGAAACGCGTTGCTAAGCCACAATATCACATCAGATCATAGTTGGTTTTGGAAATGTGATCCACACACCAATAATGGATGACACCTTATTGCCAATCAATACCTGCCGATATGATTCCTAATTGCATCACTAGTAACCGGTGCAATCTCTTGAGGATGGAACTGCAGATTTGCAGTAAAATCACTTTAAATATTCAAAATGCTCGCAAAAGTTCACATCCTCACAATCTGTAAACTTATTAATTTATTTATTAGCCTAATAGGAGAAAAAACGTAGACTCATATCTTAGATAGACAACAGACTCTGTGGCGCAGTGTGGGGAAATAAATCGGGGCAAATTTTATTTAACTGTAAAGTGATTTATTTCTCTTTTTAACAATTTTTTTTACAAAACTTGGTATGTATGACTTAGTATTAACGTTATTTTGAAATGTGCAAAAATATGCAGGATTATACAAATTAAATAAGTTAAGGATATTTCCGCTGAAACGGGAAGTAGAGTAGTAACAAAATATATGTCGTCAGATGTGTTATGTGTTATTGTACTTGTATGCAAAGTTTCATGAATGACGTCTTTTTTGTTTCAAAGATATTTGGTTGGTTCAATACTTTATCCCAACCCTGTATATTTATCTTCTTCTTGTAGTTCCTTCTCCTATCGGAGGTTGGCTATCATCACAGCTGTCCGTACCTTATTGGCGGCTGCTCTAAAAAGATCTACTGAGCTGCAACTATACCACTATCTTAGGTTTCTCAGCCAGAAAATTCTTCGTCTTCCTATGAATCTTTTACCCTTGATTTTACCTTGAATTATGAGCCTTAATATCTCATATCTCAAAAATGATTATCCTTTATCGTTTATAAATAAGGAATTTTCAACAATCGATCGAATAGAACAGAACAACTTAGAACGAGATCCTACAGCATACACAAGGAATAATATGAGGAAAATAACAATACCGTACATAAAAGGACTATCAGAAAAACTTAAAAGAATAGGAAATAAATTCAACATTTCAACAACATTCAAAACAACAAACACGTTGAGATCTATTTTGTCCAAAACCAAACCTAACAATGAACAAGAAAGGACAAAGAATTGCATTTATAAAATACCCTGTGAATGCGATCAGTTTTATTTAGGTCATCAAGGAATCATCAAGGCCATTAAATGTTAGAATAAGTGAACATCAATCTTATATTAAAAATAAAGAATTTGATAGATCTCAAATCTGTAAACACGCATGGGATAATGAACATAGGGTTCAATGGAGTAATTCAAATGTAGTCCTAAAAGAAACGGATGGTAAAAAAAGAAAAATCAAAGAAGCGGCTCTAATTATGTTAAATGAGGCCAATTGTGTCGCAAATTCTTCGGCAGAATGTAGTAGGATCTGGTTACCAATATTGAAAGAGGAAGTTATTAATAAAAAAATACCAGTATTAGTAAGTCAGTAACATATAGAGGATACATCATTTATGTTTTTTAAATAACGTAACATATAAAATCAGAATTTTGATGTTTGTTGAAGGTAAACTAAATTCACGAACAAATACTTACAATGTCGGGATAGTATTATGAGGTTTTTTCCTGGTTTTCCCTCATAATTTACTATGGAATCACTAACAGGAGAATTTTACTGTCATCATGTCATGTGTTTGTCTTTTTAAAGACGAATTACATGCTATGATTTTTTCTGACGGATATTCTCAAGTTAAAGTTGATTTCATGTAATCGAATGAACTATCTTATAAGTAAAGTCGTCCCAGGAGCGCAACTCAACAATATTGGCAATATCATTTTAAAAGTCGTCTACTTTAAAATGCATAATGTATGTCTGAATTGTCAATATAAATGAGTCAGATAAAATTAAATTATTAGAAGAATTTTTCACTATGTAACAAAAAACAAAATTTGTTTAATTTACTGTTTGTATTTTGAGAACGATTTCCGAAGTGGAAATTGAAACGTCAATAAACGTATTTTTATCTTTAATTGTGGCTTATTCCCAGTTTAATAGTAATTAATTTACAATGCCACAAGAAAATAGCTTCAGAACAATATTAATATCTCATATTTCGCACCTCTGGTAATGTGGCCTAAATATTCCAGCTTTCTTGTTTTTATGTGCTTTATGACCTCGCAATCCTTTTGTAGCCTCACCACATCTCAAATGAATATGTATATCTATATATGTTCCCTATTAGCCATTAGATCGCACCGCATCGGAGATGAAAACTTTGCCAGCCAGTCTATCCTGCGTGTAGTACTGTATAGCTCAGACTGACAGTCTCAACCTACACGGAAGATATATATCTATTCGAAGATATATGCAGCAGTTAAGAAGTACTCAAAGGGCCATACATTGGAATCACTTCAAGAATCATCATCAATTTAGTTTCTTTACTTACTCAGTAAAGCAAAACGCGTGCGTCGTTCGTGTACCTACTTCGTTTCGAGCGTTAACTTGCCTCCGGCCTAGTTCAATTTAAGGACACTTCCAGGAGGGGAGTTTAATTGGGTTGGTACATCTGTCTAAGAATCACGCAGGTGTCCTAAGGCCAGCTCAGCGAGAACAAAAACCTCGCGTAGGGCAAAACCTGGCTTGATCTTGATGTTCAGTATGCATAGGGACTGCAAAATCATGGCCTATAGATCTTTTTGGCTTGAAAAGTTTTCAGTAAGATGTGTTAGGAAAGTTACCACAGAGATAACTGACTTGTGGTGACTAAGCCTTCAAAGCGACGTCGCTTTTTAATTCTTCGATGTCGGCTCTTCATATCATTGTGAAGCAGAATTCGCCAAGCGTTGTATTCGCTAAGCGTTATATTAAACGCCTCTAAGGCTGTATCCCTTTTAGCTGAATGTGGCAACGATATTTCGTGGAGCTCCTACAGTCAAAAGGCTTAAAACTATGTTACTTTTCCAGGCAATGGTAATTAGCTACGTTTATCGCACGAGCCCTTATTTCCGTTGAGATTATCGGTTTACGATGCAATCCATCCTTGCCAGTAGACCAGATCTTTAGTCTCACGAACTTGGTTATAATCTTTTTCGATATTGGAACTCGGAATTGTCTGTAAACGACTTACGTACCTGTCAGGCTGTTGTGCCTGGTACGAGTAGAGCAGTTTCCATGTTGCGATCTTTTGAGGCTCAGTTGGGGATTCGTCCTGTCGATTAGATAAAAAATAAAGCCGTTTTCGTATCCACTGCCAACCGTTGCCAGTTATTTTAAAAATATCAAAATACTGACGGACCCTACAACATACAACGAGGGAAGTGACATTCGTAAAGCCCACACTACATTTTCGTACGTTTGCCTTAAAACTAGCATGAATATCGATATATACTCGAAATACTTTAGCACGTATATTTTTCTTTAGATATAAGTTGTAACAAAGTATATTTTATTTCAGAAAAGGAATTAGACAAGACGTTGAAGAAGGATTCGGAAAACTCATCTCCTCGTAACGACCATACTTGGGTAAACCCGAATGGCACATATCGTCGAACGCCCAAACATAACGGCACATTCAAAAAGTCTGATTTGAAAAAAAGTCACAACATTCTCAATGCTACGTACGATACAGATCCGCCGAAAAATAATATTAATACAACACATACGCTTATAAAAGACTACAACGGCCTAGAAGATTTGAAGAAAGATCTGTCTGATCCGATAGAAATACATACAGATCTAAATAGGTAAGAATTTCGGTAACATTGATTAGACGTGAAATATGTAATATTACTTTTTCAGGTTAAGTTATTGTCTCGAAAACGAAGACGAGAAATTAGACGCGACGTATAACGACGTCAACCGGACGTCGAACAGTTTAAAGACTTCCACGCTAAGTGGCTCTGCAGGTTCAGCTGACAGTCTTGACAGGTTAAGTAGTATGTCGAGTAGCAGCCGAGGCTCCAATAAAATGCTCAACATGGCCGACGTGGACGCCATCGTCGAAATGCAGGAGAGAAGTAAGTCAAACATTTAGTTGTAGCTTAATAAACATTACATACAGTTAGTCCATGGTTCTTTACCCGTGCGTCGTCATTTAAAGCATGCGAAATAAGTCGGAAATTTTCTCCACACAACAGCAAATGATAGAAAGTGGCTACTGCTCCGATCACGGACTATATTATAAAATTTGACATCAAATAAATTGACTGACATTATTAGGTTATGGAAACCGTAAGATGATATCCGCCTTATTAGAGGATCCTTTAATAAAGTACAAAAGTCTAAAAGTGAGTTATTGATAAATTAATGTTAAAGCAACCTTTTATTTTGATAAAAGGCATTAAATATTTTTGTATAACATAAAGAAGATCTAGAAGATTCTTTGTTGCTTACATACCTAATCCTAGATTAAAAATTAAAAGAAGATCATTGAAAAGTGTAAAATTTAATCAAATTGTCATTTAAAGAATACTATAATCAATAATATGTAAGTACCATTAGATATTGCTAGTTTAGCTGGCGCAAGTGACGAAGAAATAGAGTTGTTTAAAATACTTATGAATATTATTGCAAATACTTACGAATATTATAACAAAAAATAATAATGATTTACTAATTGAGAATAATACTAAAACAATATTCATTAAATAGAACAAAACATACAACAAATTTGATCAAATATCCATATAAGTGAAGTTAGTCGTTTTTTGTCTTTCTAAACGTTATTTGACAGGTTACCTCAAAATAAGGGATCTTTAAATAAAAGTTCTCTGGTCCTGTATTTAATTTAAATATAGGCGACGTTTATTTTATTAAGTAATAAATGACGCACAACTGCACATGCGTATCTTCTTTTTTTGGTGCCTATCCTCTGTGGATGTTGGCAATCACGTTGGCCCCTACAACTTTGTTGACAGCTATTCTATATAGATGTATGGTAGTCATTCCTGACTTCAAGATTCTTCCTTATCTATATCTTCCTTGATATTCAAGGAAATAGATCTGTTGGCCGAAGGCAGAACTCATGCTTAAAGAATCTACGTGATTGCTATCAATGCAGATTGATTAATTTGTTTAGAGCAGCAAGTTCTAAAATAAAAATAGCCATTATGATTGCCAACCTCCGTAGGGAGACGACACTCTAAGAAGAAGAAGTCATTCCTGCCCACTGTCTGATGTTCTTCAACCATGATGTCCTTATGCGCCCTTGAGATCTTTTGCCTTCTATCTTGCCTTGTAAAATTAATTGAATTAGTTGATACTTCTCATTGCGCATCACATGTCCTAAGTATGTCATCTTTCTGATTTTCACGATACGCATAATTTCCAGATCTTTATTCATACGTTGGATCACGGTGTTGTTTGTAACATGATGGATATAGGAAATTCTAAGCATGCGACGGTAGCACCACATTTCGAAGGCTTCTAATCGTTTGGATGTTGCCTCCGTCAAGGTCCAGGCTTCGACTCCATATAAAAGGGTAGAAAATACATAGCATCTCAAGACTCGTGTTCTTATATCAATGTGCATATTACATAAAATCTTCCTGAGGCGATTGAAGACAGCTCTTGTCTTTTCTATAAATTTTATTTCCTGTGAGTGGTCCCATTCTTTATTTAGGTTGCATTCAAGATATGTAATTTTGTCGACTATTTTCAAGGGTTCATTATTAGCTGTGAATTGGTGCTGTATTACCTCGTTTTTACTTACTACACGAATTTTGGTCTTCTTACAGTTTAATTTCATGCCGTATCTGTCCAAGATCCTCCGCATGATCAACAATCAAAACCGTATCGTCCGCATATTTTAAATTGTTAATGATTTCACCGTTGATTTTTATACCTTCTCTAAAACCATCAATAGCTTCTCTGAACAGCATTTTCGAGTAAGTATTGAATAACGTCACAGACAAAATGCAGCCCTGACGTACTGCCCGTGTTATCGTGAATTCTTGTGAGTTATCCCGTGTTATCCTTTGTTGTAAGTATAAATTTTTAATTAGGCGTAAATCTTTGTCATCAATATTAGATTATTTCAGTATCTGAAATAATTTTTGATGTTGCACCTTGTCAAATGCTTTTTCAAATTCTATAAAGCATGCGTACACTTCGCAAATTACGTCTCGAGCTCTTTGTATCAATACTTGTATGGAAAATAGGGCCTCTCGAGTTCCCAGTCCGCTTCTAAACCCAAACTGAACACTGCTAATGTTTTGTTCAAGTTTTCTATATATGCGAGAGTGAATAACAGAAAGAAGGATTTTGAATGCATGGCTCATTAAGATTATAATTCTGTAATCAGAGCATCTGGTGGCATTTGCCTTTCTGGGGAGAGGGATGAAGGTGGAAACTAGCCAATCTGTAGGAAATGCTGCAGTTTCATAGATTCTGTTCAGTAGACTCGTTAGGAGTTTGAGTTGGTTGTTTTCAAATGGTTTAAATATTTCAGCTTGTATGTTATCAGGTCCAGGTGCTTTGTTGTTTTTTAGTCTTTTTATTGCATATGTTACTTCACTGAGCGTTATTTCTGGTCCTAAACATCCAGAAACACTGACTTCTGTCTCTTGCTCTTCCTTGAATAATGTTTCCATGTATTGCCTCTATCTCCCAAGTATTCTCCCATGTTCGTAGAGCAGATTGTTGTGCTCGTCTAGTATTAAGTTATGACTTCGTGATCCGTTTCCTGCCGTTGAGTTTTTTATGTTTTTATGTAGGTTAAAAATGTCTTAGAGTGCTTCTGTTCTAGTGATTCTATTTCTATGCATTGATCTTGTAAACATGATTCTTTTGAAAATCCACAAGGAAAACAATTCCTGTAGCTGGCTATATACCACGTATCACAAAAAAGAGGTTAGTCTTCGTAAATGGGTATATTTATTTAAAAACCCTTAAAAGGGCTACATAAAAAAAACAAACGTTTTCGGACTAAACAGTCCATCATCAGGTTTAAATTTTAAAATTGCTAGGTTAAAATGCCTGAGCCACCAAAATACATGGGTAAAAACCCTTTAAATTACATATAGTTGTAAAAGATTATACATCATGTTGTTAAAAAACTGTGATGTTCAGTATTAAATTAAATATGACTTCAGGTAACATACATGGCTGAAGTGAGTTCCAGAGCCGGAGAGTAAACCTCTACACACGGAGAACAGCTGGTAACTCCGTAACTCCTGAGTTACCAGCTGTTCTCCGTGTGTAGAGCTTTACTCTCCGACTCTGGAACTCACTTCAGCCATGTATGTTACCTGAAGTCATATTTAATTTAATACTGAACATCACAGTTTTTTAACAACATGACGTATAATCTTTTACAACTATATGTAATTTAAAGGGTTTTTACCTATGTATTTTGGTGGCTCAGGCATTTTAACCTAGCAATTTTAAAATTTAAACCTGATGATGGACTGTTTAGTCCGAAAACGTTTGTTTTTTTGATGTAGCCCTTTTAAGGATTTTTAAATAAATATACCCATTTACGAAGACTAACCTCTTTTTTTATGATTCTTTTGCTTCTTTAATCATGTTTTTAATGATTTTGTTTATTTTTTTGTACCTTTTCTCATTCTTATTTCTGTGTTTTCTTCGTTCTTCCATTAGCTCTAATATTTCTTGTCTCATCAACGGCTGTTTCTTTATATTGTTTTCTGATTTAAGTTGTTGTTTATTTTGTTGTTGATTTCCTCTTTGACTTCGTCTCTTGTGGTTTTATCTTTCAACTTCAGGATGTCCGGACGTTTTTGTGCTTGTCTTTTATGGACTTTTTTCATGTGGAGTTTGAAACGTCCTAGTAAAAGATTATGGTCTGATGGAACTACTGCTCCTGGATATGTTTTTGCGGATTTTACGGAATTCTAAAGTCGTTTGTTGATCATGATGTAGTCAATATAGTTTCTAATCATTTTTTTTTTTGACAGTCAGCTAGAGATTTACAGGTGTAGAGTCTTCGAGGTGGTAATTGGAAAAAGGTGCTCATTATTGCACTATCTGTTTCCTGGCAGAACTGAACAAGGCAGTCTCCTCTGTCATTTCGCGTTCCTAGTCCAAAGTGTCCCACAGTATTGCCAACACCTCCTTTGCCTAGCAGGACATTCACTTCTTGTTTTTTGGTATGTTTTAGGGATTCTTTTAATTATTGATCATAAAATATTTCTATTTCCTGCTCTGAACTTTTCGAAGTTGGAGCATATGCCAAAATAAAGGTGCTTTTAATAAAGAATGACATAAAATACGTCTAAAATAACTCTCTATTTATTTTGATTACAAATTTTTGATAAAAAAAAGAATTATCTAATTTGGTACAGTCGTTCTGAAGTGATGCCCGTATAAACATTTCGGCGATTCATTTTTATTAATATAGATTAATTGAATAATTTTAATATAAATAAACTTTTTTAAATTGTATAAATAGACTGTTAAATGCAATACTAACTGTTATTACTTTAATACAACATAAATCAACTTTTGCCTGAAATTAATTTGATAGAAATTGGGTAATAACACTGTCTGCATCTATTAGCGATCTAAAGAAACTTTTACAAACTAAAGTTTAACCGCTTATATAAAAGCCACATTAAAAAGAAAATCTCTTATTTTATTTGACATCAACTAAAACAACCTTTTGAATACATGAACGGAAGTTCTCAGTCTTAAATCAGTATGATATTAGACACGACTCGATATTTTAGTGCCTATATTCCTTCTCGATACATTTAGCTATCGTATTTAGTTGCATATTTAGTGTTCCTTCGTAGATACTTCCGATCTTGACGTCTCGATACATTTTTTCTAGGATAACTGCTTTGGTAAAAGCAACGCCTCCCATCCAGTCTATACACTTGATGCAAGTCTTTTGCGCTACTTCGGCTGCATAGTATTTAGCCATCGACGCCTCCTTTTGAAACGCTGCGCCGCTATCGACGAGTCTTGCGGCGTTGTAAGTCAGCAGTCGGGCACATTCGAGCTCCGTAGCTATCTGTGCTATTTGGTGTTGCATTCCTTGGAAGCTGTATATCGGTTTGTTAAACTGCCTTCTTTCCAAAGTGTACGGAATCGTGATATCGAGGCATCCTTGAGCTAGACCTACTTGTTGAGCGGCCACTCCTATCCGGCCCTCGTTAAGGGATTCGGCAATTATTTTGTATCCTTGGCCCACTTCTCCTAATATCGAAGTTTGTGGCACTCTCACGTTATCGAAGTTTACCGGATGAGTTCCTAAAACAAATAATGCATATTATTTTCATGTACCAAGACGAGGTTAAATGAATAAAAGGTGAACAGGTGTCCAACAAGATTAAAACATTGCGGAAGCTATTTTTTTATGCGCGATGGAGGATTTGTCTAATACGTTTTATAAGATTCGTCGACAACCAGTAACGAAAAACTAAAATGGCGTGAATGACACTTACTATATCATGTATACTGCCTTGCAAATTATAAGAGATCGGATCCACGAAGTTTAATAACACTTCAAGGGTAGTCAACACTATAACAACTTTATATTTGGATGGAACGAAGGGGTCAAAAGTTATGGCTGTTATAATATCCGGAAATTTATTGGTTATAATATCCCGAAAGTTTAGTGACCTGTTTGTGACATAAAGTTGGGGTTATCACAGATGCTATTTAAAGCTTTTTAAATCAATTGAATTTAATCTGAACGGAATATATAAATTATCAATGGACTTGTGGATGAATTATTAACTTTAATGAAGAGAAGTGCATTTCTAAATCTTTTTATTACTAACGAAAAGAGCAATCGGTAGGTAATTATGAAATACGTTTTTACACTTAGATTTTATGGTAAATCTCCCTTTTAAAAATTACTAATACACACTCAGCTCTCTCGCACGATAGCGGCACCGTCAAACTGTGTGTACTACGCTGGATTGCCATGTACTCCATAAAATTCAAGGAAAAAAAGTCCAAACAGTATTTTTTATAAATTTGGTTTGGTCGTCAAGGATTAAAAGACATATTTGTCCGCATACTGTATTACTAGTTTAGCCATTGGGACCACAATAGGCACCCAATATTTTATCTAGTAATGCTGTACTAGCATTTACAAAGTAACATGAGCTCAATATTGTCGTGGGAGATTTTAATGCGAAGATTGCCGAAGAATAACAGAAAGATATCAGAGAAAACATGATCTGGGAATACGAAACGAACGAGGAGATATTTTGATGTCTTTCTGTTTAGAGAAATAACTACTCATCACAAATACTATTTTCAAACTCCTAGACATTAATAAGGTAAATGCTAGAATATGGAGAAGAAACGTGGGGGCTTACACAGAAGGACCAAGAACTGCTTAAACGTTTCCAGCAAAAATTCGTAAGAAGAGTATATGGGGGAATAAAAGAGCAAGATTTGTGGCGCAGACTTTACAACTTTGAGTTGTATAGAAATTTTGGTGAATCTGACGTAAAATTCATTAAGATAGCACGCCTTTAATAATAGAGAAGTTCCCCTAAATATCATAAAAACTATTGAAAAAATCTACCAAAAAATCAAAATGGAAGTCAGGATAGATGGACAACTTACAGAACCTATAGAAATAGGCAGCGGAATAAGACAGGGAGCCAGATGCTCTTCAATTTAATCATGAATGAAATCATCAAAAATGTCAACAAAGAAAGAAGATACAGAATGCGGAACAAAGAAGTAAAAATACTCTGATACGCAGACGACGCAATATTGATAGCCCAAGATGAAGATAGTCTGCAAAGACTGGTCCCCAGATTTAACATAAGAGCAAAAGAATTTAATATGAAAATCTCATCTCAGAAAACTAAAACAATAGAAATCAGAAAAGAACCAATCTGATGTAAAATGAAAATTGATGGCATCAGTATTGAACAAGTAATGAAAATAAAATACCTTGGAATCACACTGTCCAGCCATGGAAACTTGGACAAAGAAGTGCGAGATCAAGTACAAAAAATAAATAGTCGGGCAGGATGACTTAATAACACTATATGGCGAAACAGACACATTAACAGTGAAATGAAGTCAAGGATTTATAAAGCCAGTATAACATCAATAATGACATATGCCTCAGAAACAAGATGAAGAGATGAGGGTACTGAGAATTACGCTGAGAGATTGAAAGAGAAGTGAAAACATTAGAAGAAAATGTAGCGTACATTGTATAAACGAATGAAGACTAAATAGAAAAAAAGAATGGAATAACCACACAAGCAGAATGGTGGAGAGCCGTCTGTTCAAAATAACAAGAGATAAATCACCAATCGGCAAAAGAAGCATCGGACGACTGCGCAAAAGATGGAGTGACAACCTTTCATAGAGGTATTAATCCGCCAATGAACAAGCAGAATTGCTTATAAAGAAGAAGAAAAGAATAAACCTTAGATGAATAGGGTATGTAATCAGACGAGAGGAAGGTACAACAGTCAGAAAAGTTTTGTGCCCGAAGAGGGCCGATTGGACAACGAGCAGAGGAAAACCGAGACTTAGGTATCAAGACAACTTACAGAACGATATAAAATCTATTGGAGTTAGAGAATGGAGAAGAGTTGCAAAAGACAGTGGTGAATGGATTATTGTTGTGAAGAAGGCTGTGGCCCATAACGAGCTGTGATGCCACTGTTGATGATAAAAGTTGCGCCAGTACTCCTGAAGATCACCAACAGATAGACCTAAACCAGTGTTCTGTACAAGTCTGAAGGAACAGAACGACACCAAATGATAACGTAAAACCAGCAATTACCAGCATACTCAATCAATCAATCAATCAATATGATAAAAAGAGGCAAACTGGAATATTTCGGTCATATTATGATGCACCCTGGAGAATATGAACTTTTCCACTTATCACGTAGGGAAAAAATACAAGGTAAACGTAGTTCTAGCAGAAGAAGAACATCATCGCTTAAAAACACAGTGGTACTGAAAATCGACTAGGATCATTGTCTAGAGCCACTATCACTAAAGCCGTGATAGCGAGTATGGTGACCAACATAATATCCAATGATCGATAACGCTTATGGAACTATAAGAATTATATTGTGGCAATGGCCTTTAAAAATTTGATTGATTTTGGTTGAGAAATATCAAATCCAAATAGAACAACAGCAGTAATATGGATGAGAGCTGGGATCCAATCGTAGAAACTAAAAGCTGAATAGAACATTGTTTGTAAAATTGAGAAACTTCCTTTGCCGGCACGTTCTTCCACGAAGTATTGATGTTCGAGTTAAAATGACACATTATTGTATCTTTCCAGTACTACTATATGTAGTAGAAGTGTGGATTCTAAGTGAGGCTATACTTAAACTGTTCTGACAGTCAGAAATGATGAGGTAGACGGCAAAACCAAACAAGACAACTGATCGATATGATAAACAGACGCAAATTGGAATATTTCGGTTATGTCATGAGGCACCCTGGAAAATATGAACTTGTCCTTTTATCAAACAGAGAAAAATACAAGGTAAACGTAGCTCTGGCAGAAGAACATCATCGCTTAAAAACTTAACACAATGGTACTGAAAATCAAATAAATCGTTGTCTAGAGCTACTGACAATAAAGCCGTGATAGCGAGTATGGTAACCAACATGATATTTAATGATCGATAACGCTTATGGAACTGTAAGAAGAATTATATTGTTACAATGGATATTAAAATTTTTATTGATTTTGTTTGCTGTAAAACATTGTGTGAAATACCATTTTCAGCTGAATGAGAATTTGATGTTATCTATTATATTTAAACAGAATTAACAATATACAAATATAGTAAATAACGTAGAAACCCCACAAGAGAATAGTTTTAGAATAATATTAAGAATTTTATGTTGAGTATAGCTTACCTGAAGCACATATTCCTAATTTATCTTCCGGTTTTCCAATACTCAAGCCTGGATTATCTCTCTCTACAATAAAACAAGTAATTCCTTTATACCCCAAACTAGGATTCGCGTTTGCCATTACCAAGAACAATCCCGCGATTTTAGCGCTCGATATCCACATCTTATTACCATTTATAATGTAGTCAGATCCATCTTTCTTAGCTGTCGTCTTCATGGCGAACGCGTCTGATCCTGACGTAGGTTCCGACAGAACGAAAGAACCGAGTGTGTCTTGGGCAAGACGAGGCAGATACGTTTCTTTTTGCTCTTTGGTCCCCAGTTTGTTGATGACGGTGTTGATAAGGGTGTTGTGTATATCTACAGGGACCGATACGGCGGGATCTACTTTGGCGATTTCTTCTATAACTAGGATATTGGCCATTAAATGGTAACCCAAACCACCTAAAATATAAAACGGCTAATTTAATATTCAATTTTCAGTTCATAAAGTAAAGGACTTGAGTAAGTTATTCACGAGGTACCCTGTGAGGATAAATTAAGAATAAGAGTAACAAACATTAAACATACCTAAAAAAACGTAAAAACCTGTTTTATAAACCAGGAATTATCCGAGAGTCCATGTCCATTGATCACAAATAATCCTGACTGTCTCAATAAAAGAGAGGACGGTACTCTATTACCTTCGATATGGATACACCTCCTTAAGCAATATGAATCAGAAATCATAGTCGGTAGCATACAAATAACAGCCCAGCGTAATATCGGCAGTGAATAGTAAACTGTGCACAGTAGTGGCAAGGAATATATATATGCTTATAGTGTAACGAAAATGCTGTCAAAAGTAGATGGTAAAAAGCTGATCGTTCACGAAGACCACCTTGCTTAATTCGGAAGCTCTATTTGAGGTGGGTCCTTCTCAGTCCTAATCCCTTTTGGGATGTGGTGACACCATCAGGCCTTCACAGTTTTTTTACGATTTCCCTCCATCCTTCTCTGTCCTGGGCTAGTTGTTCGGCTTCGTGTAACCCTTGGTTAATCAATATTTTTGTTTAATCCACCCAACAGCTTGGAGATCTTCCCCTGGGTCTCTTTCCTTCAACTCTACCCTCGACTATCAGTTTTTCCATCGTGCCTGTTCTTCTAGCAATGTGTCCAAACTACTGCAAATATCTCTGTTGTATTTGTTTAAGCAATCTATCCTTTACTTTAAGTTGTTCTAATATCGATACGTTAGTGCGATGATCAATCCAGGATATTCTTAACTTGCGGCGGTATACCCACATTTCAAAAGCGTCCAGTTTACTTTTATCCGTTTTTTTTAAGGTCCACGTTTCGGATGCATATGTGGATATGGGAAAAATGAGCGCCCTTACCAGCCTTAGTTTTGTGTGTATTGTTATGCTAGAATTTTTCCAAATTGTTATCAGTTTCATCGTGGCTGTTCTAGCAATAGTCAACCTTCTACGTATTTCTTTGTCACACCATCCGTCATTTGTTATTACGGATCCCAGGTATATGAAAGTATTTACTACTTCAAAGCCCCCAATTTCTTTAATGTGTTGAAGATTATTCCGAGCTCTGTCGACTATCGTGATCTTTGTCTTACTCCTATTTAGCTTTAGTCCATATGTTTTGCTTTTTTTCCTCCAAACATCTCATTATGTCTTCCATTTCTTCCTGATTTGCCGCGATTATTAAAGAGTCATCAGCATATCTCAAGTTATTGATTTTTTGACCTCCTACTGATATTCCGCCCTTCCATCCGTCTAGTACCTAAGATTAATGGAAAAGTAACATACATAAATGTCACATAGATCCGGAATTGGCTTATAGAGCAGTCACTACAGTAGGGATCCTGGTCTATACAGAAAAATGCAAGCGGGCGTGAACTAATAATGCACTTTGGTTGCATTGTTGGTGTATTGGCTAAATCGTGCAGGATATGATGCTAATAGCAAAGGGATTCTGGCATCAAACGTCCGAAAATATTTTCAGGCCATATTAATGAAAAGACCTCCAACGTAATAAAAATTATACTGAAATGATGGCAAGTACAAAAAACAAATAGACTGACAGGTTGCATTAATAACACTATATAGCGAAACAGACACAATAACACTGAGATGAAGTCATGAATTTATAAAGTCCGTGTAAGACCAATAATGACATATGCCTTAGAAACAAGACCCAACACAGCGACAACGCAAAGGCTACTTGAAACGGTAGAGATGTGAGTATTGACAAGAATTACATGAAATACGATAAAGATCAAAAGAAGTGAAGACATTAGAACAAAACATAACGTACAGTGTATAAACGAATGGACAGTAAATAGAAAAAAGAATGGAATAACTACATAAGCAAAATCAGGAAGACCTGTGTGGTCAAAATAGCAAGAGATAAATCACCAATCGTCAGAAGAAGTATCGGACGACCACTCAAAAGATGAAATGACCTTCTATAGAGATATTAATCCGCAAATGAACAAGCAGAATTGCTTATAAAGAGGAGGAAGAAGAAAAAAATCTGGATTATAAGAAGAAAAAAAAACTCAGCAATCTTACGTGAAATAATGATAAAACAATAACACAATGCCAAGATTATTATAACTATCTGGAAGAAAATTTTGACTCATTTGGAATAAGAAACATGAGAACAAAAAAATATAGAGAAGAAGAACAACCAAAAATTGTATGGAATAAAAACGTTACAAAGGAAATGTAATGTAATATGTATAAAAATTTAATGAAAAGCAAATTGAACCGACGCATACCATCCAGGTGACCATTATTGGTAAAATAATGCACCAATAAAGGCTAATAGCGACCTCTACCGAGGTAAAATGAAGTCAGTGTCTATAACGATTAAAGTAAACTGTAAACCCGAGCTAATAAAGCTTATAGGCCGATGTTAGGAATATTTGTATTCCATTAGTACATCAACAACTTAACCATATAAATCACTATTATTTTGTACTCTTTTCGGTGAGTAAGAACGATAAACAAAATAAATATAGATGGTTGCATTTCGATTCAATTCGAATCTCTGACCATTCTTATATACGTGTTGCAACCTGTTTTCAAATTTAGTCCTTCCACAAAGTCTTCCTGACGAACCTTAAAAGTTAAAACACGTGTAGGATAATGGTGAGAAACTCGAAATTTGACTCCCTCTACAAAAACTCAGAATCCAAGAGTTTCTTCAAAATTTAAAAAAACACGTCAATTTGTATCAGTTTTTTTAAATAGGAAGTGTGGCCAAGCGGTACATCATTTAAAAGATTTTTTTTTCTCTACAAGACACTTTTTTTATTTACGGAATAACTTTGTAAGATAATTTTGTATTTAACTAATTTATTGTTTGAAGATCAGTAATAACAAAAAACAGAAAATTTCATCAAATTAACCAATTAAATGTTCGAAATTACCTCCTGTGACCATACAATAATAGTCTATTTTTAAAGCCTCTGTGTACATTTTCAAATACCTCCGGTGCCAATAATCGGCATTCTGTCACAATTCTTTGTCGCAACTCTGCCAAATCTGCAGGCGGAGTGTCTCCACAAAAAAAAATCCAAAGGCGAAAGATCCGGTGATCTGTCCGGCCACTCTATTGAACCCCTTCTGCAATCCAATGCACTGGAAAACGTTGATTCAAAAATTGTCTTACGCGTATATCATAATGTGGGGATGCTCCGTCCTGTTGAAAGTTAGTTTATCCTCTAAAAGATACTTTGAGATTCCAATGTGTCAGTGATCAGCGGATCAATAACGTCTTCTAACAAGTTTAAGTAGGTTGTTTCTTTGAGATTTCCTTCAAGAAATATTGGTCCAATAACGTGATTCCCTAAAATGCAAACATTTTACATTTAATTTCTGAGGTGTTTGTGTATGTGTCTCCATGAATAAATGAGGATTACTGTTACTCCAATAACGACAATAATGTCTATTAACTTCACAATTTAATATATAATTACACTCGTCGGAAAAACACGTATTCTACAATCGATGTTGGTTGTTATTTATGATTTTACTGAATTCTTCACAAAATTGATGCCGACGATCAGGATCATCTTCGTTTAATTGATAAAGTAATCGTATTTTATAAGGGTGAAATATATGGGATTTTATAATTCGATAAACACTAGATGCTGATACACCAAATGCACGAGATAGTTGTCTGATAGACTGTCGATTATCCATTTATAAATGACCCAATACCGCCACGTCAACTGCTTCATTTCGCACTCGACGATCTACTTCGTGTTTTGTGTTGTTAAAGCCACCCATAGTTTCAAACTTATCAGTTAAATGTTTAACATATTGGTGACTTATGTTTTTTCTGGGTGGTTCGTATTAAAGATTCTTGCCGTAGCCTTAGCACAGTGATTATTTTCATTGTATAGCTTAACTAATTCTATTCTTTCTTAACTATAATATCCCATTTTTGTAAGCCTTTACAATGATATCTCTGATTAGTCAGTCGTTGTCAAATCTAAAATCAAAGGTTTTTTTTTTGTGGCATAGACTTTTGTCATTCAGCCAGACTCAAAAAGTCAAAGGTAAGCTGGTAAACACTAGAGAAGACAATTAGGATTCATTATCTTAAAAAAAAAATGCATATGAAAAAGTGATATTTATACAAAAAGAAAAAATTATCTTCAACTTAGTGGCGTGTTCATATCGATTTACAGGTTGATTAAATTATTTTATTGGAGGTCTCAAGAACATTTTTTAATTGGTTAATTTGGTGAAATTTTACTATTTTTTGGTGATTTATATGGGTAACTTGTTGATTTACTCGTGGAATTGATTTGATCAACAAACTGCCTCTCATTTCTTGTATGTGATTGCTGTCTGGTTAAATAGTAATCAGTGGTTTGTTCTGTTTGTGTGCACGTTTATATTCAAATAAATATTTACGTTTAAATTATGTACATACTTACCATACTTTTCTTCTATCCCTACGCCCATGAGACCATGTTCAAAACACATATCCATAACGGACTTTTTTATTTCTCCCTTATTTTCCATTTCTCTAACGTACGGGGCTATATTGGTTTTGCAAAACTTAGCAACGTTGTCCTTTAACATGTTTTCGTCTTCTGTCAGTATAGTCAAAGGTACATGTTTTTCCTTATAGTCATGTTTGCTTCTGTTTTGTTGTAGTCTGATGGGTCTTCTTCGAAAAATCATACTGGTTCTTCCTATACTACTCATTGTCGATTACTAAAAAATGGGATAAGGTACATAAATTTCATCAGTACAGAAAATAAATTGAAAATATTTTTAACATCCGGGGGTTGGGAAACTCTGATCTATGATATATTTACCGAGGAGGGAGGTATTTACAATCTTCCACGTCGCATACGGGACAAAAAATTAAAGGAAAAAGGGGCACGAGCAGAAGATGGTGGTTCTCTAAATCTGTAAAATTTTGAATATATATCAGAAAAGAACACACGAAAAGTATCAATTTGCCTAACGATGGATCTTCAAATTCTTATTTCGCCTTTAAGCTGGGAGGTTACTAGAGAAATTAGCAAATAAAAAGCCTTTTTCGTGACACTTTTTGATACAGGTATCTAACAACTGCTTCTGATAAATTTGGTGATAACAATATGCAATAAACATAATGATTTTCTATTTTTTTTCAGTAAAATTGTATCACTTTTCCATATAATTTATTGTCTTCAAATTCAGTATTTAAAATCAAATAGCGATCTTACATTAGAGATAGAACATAAAATCAAATAGATCATGTCCTCATTGACGCAAGACACTCTAGTAGCATTATTAATTCGCGAAGTATGAGAGGAACTGACAGCTATAGCGATCACTTTCTGTTGAAATCTAAGTTAAGAACGCGATTATCAATACAGAAACTGGAACAACAAGAAAAAAGAGAAATATGGAACATAGAACCCCTACAAACACCAAATAAAAAACTGGATTATCAAGTGGCAATAAGCAACAGATTCCAATCGATGGGAGATGAAGAGCTTAATGTAAAGTTAGAACAAGCATGACAGCAAGTGGCATCAGTTGTAGAACAAGCAGCCAAGGAAACCATTGGAAAAAAGAGGACTCTTTTTTTCTCTCACAAATACCAAGAAATCTTTCATCATTTTGAGATAAGGCCCATGTTTCATCCCCATATATTAAAACCGGTCTTATTAAGGTCTTGTATATATTAAGCTTTACTACACGTTTTATTTTTTTATTTTTTAAATGTTTCTGGAGACTGTGAACAGTTCTGTTTGCTATTGCTATGCGTCTTTTTATTTCGCCGCTTGTCGTGTTTGTTGCGTTTACTAGTGATCCAAGATATGTAAATTCTTGACTTGCTCAAAAGTATGGTTGTTAATTTGAATTCTCTGTTTGACTTGCTCAAAAGTATTTTTGTTAATTTGAAGCCTTGTAAAAAACTGCACCATGTCTCTCATATTTCTGCCCACCATAACTATATCGTCAGCGAATGCGAGAATTTGCGTCGATCTATTAAAAATAGTTCTATTCATTATAATATTTAATGGTCTGATTGCCTTTTCCAAGGCAATATTAAAGAGGAGACACGCCAACGCGTCCCCCTGGCTTAGACCATTGTTAAAGTCAAAGAACGTAGAGTTTTCTCCTTCAATTCTAACGCACGAGCTTACATTTTGCATTGTTAGTTGGGTGGGTCAACTTAACTAGGTACCGATCTTATTTTGGTCATAAGTCGCTCAATTTTTTATGCTAGATATTTTTTTTTCATCATGACAGTTGGCGCTACAGCCCTTCGTGAGCCTTGGCCTGCTTCAAAACATTCTTCCATCCTTCTCTATCGAGTGTCTTCTCCAGCCCCTCACTCCAATCTCCCTCAGATCTTCCTGTACATCGTCCAGATATCTGAGTTTAGGTCGCCCCCTTCTTCTTCTTCCGACCGGCCTGTTTAGCATAGTTATTTTAGTGGGATCACTCTCATCCATCCGCACTTTTTGTCAACTTTCCAATTTGTATACTTAAAAAAATATTGTGTAAGTTTTCCTCGAAAAATGCAAAATTTTCCCGTTATTTTGGCTTTGAATATTTCAAATTATACATTTGACGAAAAAAGCTAACCTTTAATATGCCGTATCTCGGTTTGTATTGGTCGTAGAAACATTATAAAACAAGGACTTTATTTGTGTTTCTAAAGGATACAATTTTGATATCCACAGTTTTTTAATTAAATGAATATTTTTGAGTTATTCTCAAAAAACCCTAAAAAAGTCGATTTTTTCATCGAAAACCTGTTACTTTCAACCGCTAATTACTCGGAAAAATATTAGTTTTACCAGGAAAGCACACAGAACATTTTTTTCTTAGAATTACTTTTATCACCGATTTCCATGGTTAAAATTGTATGAAAACTTCCCACTCCTGAGATGGGGTGGCAACCACCCCCGATAAAACCAAGTTTTATCGTACAGCGGCATGATATAGAAAATGATCCTTGGACTATTCCATACCCTCTGTGAAAATTTCAAGTAGATCCATGCTGAACGAAAAAATTACTTTATTTCCTGGCCTAGATTAGTCATTGCCATTTTAAGTTCTACTGATATAAATCAGGCAATATTATATTCCTCTAGGAGCACCTTTTGGGTACAACTAATTCACCTTAGATTGTAGGTAAGTACCCGAAGTCAAGACAAAAGTAATTTATTTCTATTGGTGTTTTTAACTTCATTTTATCATTAACTTAATCTTTCTAGGTAATAAAATCTACTTTTTTAGAAACGGTACAGCAATTAAGACACATTAAACTATAATTAATTATCTAAAAAACAAATTAAAACTAAAAATAGAATGCAGTTAAGCCTTTCATATTGGCATTAAAAAAATTGCGTCATTTCGATTTGAAATTCCGTCCTTTATTGTATTCACTTCAACTTTCATAAATGTTTTTCTTATTTATTTTGTAACATCAACAATTCATTACATGTGAATACAGGTATTATACTGCACTTTTAAGGGATCTATTTATGTTACGCTTTTTTGTTTGATTTGGCAGTTAGTAGTTGTCCTTTTAAAATTTATTTCTTGGGATTCTTCGGCCTGGCTTGCTCTTGAGTTGAGTTTAACTCGCAGCATTAATGTCTTAAATACACTCGAAATCTGTAAATGCACTAGAATCTCACTAAGCCGGCACTATTAAATACCAGAGCGTGGATTATTGGAATGTTTGGATTACTGGATTGAAACAATTAAATGCTGTATCTGGATTTACTTTTACAATTGTAGTAGTGCCAAAAGAAAAATGAATCCTGGGAAAAAAGTGCACCATGCTAAATACATTCATTGGTGGAAGCCAAAGTTCAGAAAACTGGAAAGTGTTAAACAATTTAAGAAACAACAGAAAAAGAGATATTATCCAGTCCATATCACCGCAAACTTGGAAGAATACTTTAAAGATTTACTAACATAGACAAGAGAGCCCTTCAAACAGCTAGACAACTATGGTCTACAATAGAGATGTGTAGTTCACCATCGAAATAGTTCAAATGAACGATTCTTTCAACTGAACTGATTGAACTAGTTCACTAATTTTCATAGAACTAGTTCACTGCGAACTATTTGCATTATAAATGTGTCTCAACTTCTAAATAAAAAAATAATGAATGATACCATATATTTCGAATGGAACGGGTCGAATTACATAGTCCCTGATAGAAACAAGGGGAGTAGGAGCAGGCTTTTTCTTAAGAAGTATAACTGCTTTCTTTTCATCTTTCCCTGCTTGTTCTACTAGCAAAACTGATTTTGACGTTGAAAGTTGAGGTTCTTGAAATTGATATGATTGATAGCAGAGTGTTTTATTTTTAAATGTCTTGATAAATTGCCCAGTGAACCACTTGTAATACTAATATCACATGAACAGTAATTACATTTTGCAGATTTTTGATTTTTATCGTTTTTCTCTAACTGATCCCATAAAAAACTTCTATTTCGTCTGTTACTCATCTTTTGGGATTGATTAAGAAAATAAATTATTATAAAGAAAAAAGAACTAATCATATAATAATTTAAAACATTTGAACCTAAACATAATACGATCGAAAGAAATGGTTCCGAATCCGAACTACTTGAACTCCGTACACTGAAAACCGAAGAAAACGAGTTTGTGTGATGATTGAAATGAGACATCTGGCAACCAGTTATGTTAGGGTTTCGATTTCGGTCCTACAAATAGTTCTTTCACGAACTAGTTCACTGAACTAGTTCATTTTTGTGAAATAGTTCTCTTGAACTAGTTCGTTTAAAAGAACTAATAAGCACACCTCTAGTCTACAAGGCGTCGTCAGGCTGATAGGATCACCAATTAGAATAAACGAAAGAGAAGTCGAAACTGTATGCAGATATCTAAATAATGGCAAATCACCTGGCCCATTAAATGTAGCTCCAGAACTCATCAAACATGGACCCAAAATAATAATTCAACGGCTACGACCACTTTTCCAGGAATGCATAAATAAACATGAAATACCTGAGGAATGGAAAGAATCGCATATGAACACCATCCATAAAAACGGAGATAAATCGAAACCTAAAAACTATAGAGGAATTGCAGTTACTAGTAGTATTAGCAGAATATATGGGAAAATAATAAAAAATCGAATAGAAGAAGAATATCAAGATATGGAAGCCGAAGAACAGGCTGGTTTTCATGTGGGTCGATCTAAAATAGACCATGTCTTCTCTATTACTCAGATAATTGAAAAGAAAGTTGCTCGTATCCAAGAAGTCCACCTGACGTTCTTATTAGGAAAGCATATGATAGTGTCCCGCTTGATAAATTATGGAAGACACTGGGGAAAACAAATATAAATATAGAATTTATTGAAGCGGTAAAAACGTTGTACTACCAACAAACAACCAGAATTATAACAGGACATCTGATAACACCGGGATTCAAAGTGACTAAAGGACTAAGACAAGGATGCTGTATATCCCCAACATTATTTAAAATATACCTCGGAGCAGCACTTAACAAATGGAAGAAAAAATGTACGAATATGGGCATACCACTAATGGACTTAACTTTGTACACTCTGTGCTTTGCGGATGACCAGGTCATCATCGCACAGGACTCTGAAGACCTTAGTTACATGATGCGAAAACTATTAGAAGAGTTTACAGAGTGGGGTTTCGAAGTGAATATGGAAAAAACTGAGTACATGAGTATCGGAGGAGATCAACATAAC